ACCAACGATAGATCAGATACACAACCACCGATAATAATATTGCGAATTCGACCCACATTGTTGTTGTTCTTTATTTTAATTTTTTTCACAAATTTTTCGTTACAACTGCTATTGTTTTGCTATTTATCACATTCGTTGTAGCGATCGCTTGCCCGTTGTCTCTGAAACTGAAACTGGGAATTGTGTGTGGAGAATATTTATTCACAAGCTTGCTGGGTGGCTGACTAGCTCGCTCTCTGTTAAGCGTGTTTTTTGTTTTGATAATAGCCAGTTGAATTTAATCAGCTTGAGGCGAGTGCTAGCCGTTGTCGTCGTCTCGTGAATTGCAGCAGCACTCTCCTCGTACTCGTGAAATGCGTTTATCTTTAGTGGGCGCCAAACAAGTGCACAAAAGCCTAAAGCTTTTTGTACCGATTTCATGTTCTTTCTTTTGTTTTTTAATTATTTATCAATTTTGCACAATGATGATGAAGTTCCTGATGAAAATATTGAAATTCAAAAGTTGTAACGAAATAATATTGACCACTTGTTGAGAATAGATAAGTTGAAAAATAAACAATTGAATTTTTTTATTTCTATAAGGGAGTGCAAATGTTTTGTTTATATGCAAGACATAAATAAAATTAATTTTTTTAAATATTTTATATAAAATAATTAAAAATTTTTGGGCAATTGCAATCGAGTGTGAGCTACTACGCCACAAAAATGCAAATTTATCTACACATATTTTTCGATAACTGTGTGAGGTTCGAAATTAAAACTGTGCAGCATCGGGAAATTTCAACGGATAATGATTGAATTGGTAATAGTTTACGTCGGGATTTAACATAAAAAGGGAGGTTAATATTTCCCCATTTCAAGAAATTCAAACATATTTGGATTAGGATTTCTCTTAATTTTGATACAACATTTTTATCGAATATGTGTAAACCACAATCGACACGCTGCAGGGGTCTTTTCGTCCCTTTTTCCAAAAATTATTGAAAATTCTTAAAAAACGGCGTTTTAGCAGGTCAGAATATTTTACAAAAATGTTCCCCATACAGTTTTACTATAAGTCTCAGAATAGACCAAAAACTTAAAAATCATCGTATACGACAGAAATCTTAAAAATACGGAAACTCATTTTAATCGGTTAAAACCGTGTACACTACGCCAAAAAAAATTCAAATTTAACTATCATTTTCGATAACTGTGCGAACTTCGAATATAACACTGTGCAACATATTCGGATTAGGTTTTCTTTAAATCCTTACATTTTAGGTGTATGGTGCATTTGACTATAATACTGATACAAATATGCCGAATATATTAAAACCTCCATCGAAACGCTGAAGGGGTCTTTATCAGAATATTCTACAAAACTGTTCCCCATAAACTTTTACTATAAGTCTCAGAAGAGACCAAAACTTGTATATCAGTCTAAACGTCAGAAATCCTAAAAATATGAGCACTCATTTTATTCGGTTAAAACCGATCTTATTCCGAATTTGTGGCAATTTATCCCACTAGATTACGTTTTCGAAGGATGATATAAAATACCAAAATATTCTCCATAAAATTTCATTATAAGTCACTGAACAATAGAAATCGGTACATACATATATATTAGGTTGGTGAAAAAGAAATGGGGAAAGAAAAAGAGAGTCGTCGAAAATGTCGATAAAATTGGAGAAATTATCTAAGTTGACCGGCATGTTATCAGTCGTAACATCGCCCAGAAGCTAAAAATCGGTCATAAAACTGTTTTTTACCATTTACACAAAGCTAGATTCAAAAAGAAGTTCGATATTTAGGTGCCACACCAATTAATAAAAAAACAAATAGGATCGAATTTCCATCTGCGAAGCCTTGGCCAAACGGAATGAGATAGACCCATTTCTTAAAAGGATGGTGACTGGAGATATGCAATGGATCAAAGAGCGTTGAAGCACCTCAAACGGAGGCCAACTCAGGATTAACGGCCAGGAAGGTTGCAAATATAGAGCAGGACTTCTATGAGGGAGGCATTATGAATTACTTACTTAGCTGGCTTGTGACATAACTTTCGTTCCATAAGCCGAGCTTAAAAAAAGAATTCCAGGCGCGTCGGTCTTTTGCGCAGTTTTTCCCGTTTAAATGATCGTATTCGGCAATGTTGTCGTCCACTTGATCTATCCATCTTTTTCGTGGCCTTCCCCTTCTGGGTGAGCCATCAGCTGGTTCGCTTTTATATGCCTTTTGGGCTGGGGTATCTTCATCCATTCTCACAACATGACCTGGCGAGATGTGACCTTGCTTTTGAGATGCTTACTCAGACCATAGCAGCATCTGTTGGCCAACACTATTCTCCTCCGGATTTCAAAGCTGATGTTATAAGTTTTGTTTATGGCGGTACCGAGCTATATAAAATCATTGACTACCTCGAAGCTGGAGTTCTCAAGTTCCACAGTTGGTCCGAGTCTACTGGACGTCTTGCGCGTTGATATCATCAACTTGGTCTTTTCGCCATTTACTGCCAGTCCCACTTTGGCAGACTTCTTCTCAATTCGTTCAAAGATGGCTGTTACCGCTCGCAATGTTCGACCCATTATATCGATGTCATCGGCTTAGGCGAGTAACATGTGTTGTTTGGTGTACAGAGTACCATTTCTGTTCATCTTTGCCTCTCGTATGACCTTTTCCAGCTGGATGTTAAATAGTCACATGACATACTGTCGCCTTGTCTGAATCCTCGTTCGGTATTGAACGGGTTCCGAGAGGTCCTTTCCGACTTTAACTGCTGACATAGTACCAGTTAAAGTTATTCTGCATAGCCGCAATTTTGCAGGAATACTAAACGCAGACATTTAAACACCTTTGAACAGATAGGGCTGTCGAATGTGGCTTTATAGTCGACGAATATGTGGAATTTGTCGATGTGTTTTTCGTGTGTCTTTTCCAGGATTTGCGCAGGGTAAAAATCTGGTCAATGGTGGATTTGTCAGGTCTGAATTCGCATTGGTATGGTCTAATAGTGCCATTGACCATTGGCTTTAGTCGTTCACACAGTACGCTGGATAGCACTTTATATGCGATAGGAAGAAGACTTATTACTCTGTAGTTTACACATATCATATTGCTTCCTTTTTTGTGCACGGGGCACAGGATGCTGAGGTTCCAATCGTTGGGCATGCATTCCTCTAGCCAAATTGTACAAATGAGCTGATGCGTGCTCCTGACCAGCATCTGACCACAGATTTTAAATAGTTCCGCTGGTAATCCATCGTCACCTGCTGCTTTATTGTTCTTCAGTCGATTAATTGCTACACTGGCCTCATCTTGGTTAGGGTTTATACACTCTATACCGTCATCTCTTATTGATTCTGGGGTATCCTCTTCACCGCAACTATTTCATACCAGAAGCTTTTCAAAGTGCTCCTTCCAGATCCTCAAGACGCTGTCTGTATCTGTCGCCAGGTTTCCTTCTTCATCTTTACGGGAAGATGTGCCTGCTCCACACTCGTTGGTAAAACTTCTGAACTTCATTCTGACTCCTGTACATCTCGATTTGCTCCCGCTCACTTTCTTCATGTTCTTTCTTTTTTCTGAAAATACGTTTCTCCTCTCTCCTTTTCTCCCGATAATTTTTTATCGCATTACGTGTTGCTACTGCCCGCAGGGTTGCCCTATACGCTGCGTTTTTCATATCAGAAGCATTACGACACTCCTGATCATACCATGGGTTTCTTGGGTGGTTTTTTGTAACCAAGTGTTGATTTTGCCACAGTTTGTAGGGAGTAGGCAATTTGTTGCCATTGTGCTTCTATGTTATTATCGGGACAAGACGTGCTTTCGTCAAGCAAGTGGGTAAGTTGAGCGGAGTAGGCTTCTTCTATATGTTGAGATTGCAGCTTTTCGATGTCGAGTTTACGTGTTGTAATATATGACACCTTTGCTGCTACATTAAGACGCGTCCGAACCTTGACTGCCACAAGGTAATGGGCCGATTCGATATTGGCTCCTCGTCTAAAACACAACATGATCAATTTGATTTCTCGTTGATTGGTCAGGAGAAATCCAGGTGGGATTGTGTATATCGAGATGCTTGAATCTGGTGCTACTAACTACCATGTTTTTTGCTGCAGCGAAGTCACTCAACCTCATGCCATTGTCTGGTGTTTCTTCATGGAGACTGAATTTTCCGAGGGTGGGGCCAAAAACATTTTCCCTTTCGATTTTAGCATTAACATCTCCTAATGTCATGGCCAGGGAAGCACTTATATGTTGTTTCCAGACGATCGTAAAATATGTCTTTGGCATGCTCATCTTTGTCGGAGCATGGAGAAAAATACGACTGATGTGGAAGAACTTCGCTTTTATACGGATTATAGCAATTCGCTCTTCTACTGGAGTGAATTGGGGACGAGGTCTTTCGTGGCAGCTGATCTGATCATCTGATTTACTTACGCCAGTCCCTTTCCATTGCATTTCTTGTAAGGCAATAATATTGACTGTGTACATCCGCCAAAACGAAAACTGCGCCTGTTTTGTACAACGTGCACCCATTCCTAGTGCAGATTCGCAGATCATGGTCCTTTATACAATTGCGGGTGCCGTTGGGTAATTGCTTTCTAATACTAGGAGGGGTTTTCCGAATGTGGGTAACTAACCCTACGCCTCAACTCTTTTTTATAGTTTTTATGGGCGAACTCGCTACACATATCAGCGCACAATGATGAAAGTAGCTAACCCAGGTGACACCGCGGGGTCAGTGTCCACAATTGAGATCTAAGAGGGACCAAGATAAGCCTGGACTTCGCCATTTTAAAGCCACTCAGAGCCGTTGCTTGATATCTCTCACCCCTACGTCACCCATTGCAATAGTTTTTTTCTGAATAAAAACAACTCAGGAATGATTCCTTAATGTTTGATGCAAATATTTTTTTTATTATTTCAAAATAAATAACAAATAAGACTCGAATTTAAATACGGTAACATTTAAAATACAACATGTAACACATTTTTCATTTCACATCCCCCTATTTTGTTGGGCTTATAAATTTCATCCAGAATTTGGGTGCCAATTGCACCCTGGCCGGATTCAATTGCATGGGAATACAACTCTTTTTGGCCGGTTCAAATTTGAATTCTCTCAACAAATAGTAAATTAAAACCTTCGTTTCCAACATGGCAAAACGAGAACCTAAAAAGAATGGTGAATTGAAAAACCTATTCAAAACTTTCATATAAATAACCTCTTACCAATACAATTACGCGGACCCACACCAAACGGCAAATAGGTACATGGTTGTATTTTATCCTTATTATCTTCACTAAATCTCTCCGGATCGAATTTATCGGGATTTTCAAAGTACTTCGGATCACGATGGATACCAACTATGGGTATCCCAATACAATCACCTTTCTTTAATTCCAACTTCGTGCCATCATCCAAATCGTAGGTGATATCCTTACTGCAGACACGATCAGTTGCAATGGCACCGGGCCATTTGCGTAGACATTCCTGCACAACCATATCCATATAACGCATACCCATAAGAGCCTCATAGCTGAGTTGTTTACCCTCCAGTTGTTGTTCTACCTCTTGAATTTCTTCATAGAGCTTCTCTTGTACATCGGGATTTTCCATGAGTTCATGCGATGTGAGACAGGTCAGGGCGGCGGATGCTTCAAATCCAGCGACAAAGAAAACGAAGCATTGGCCGACCATATCATAATCAGTCCATTCACGATTTGTTGGTTTAAAATGATCTAGGGATTTTATCATGCCTCGAGATTCCATCAGCATACTGATCATATCGGGACGTATAATATTATGTTCCTGGCGATATTTCATGGCATCCAAGACGAGGCGCATAAAATAGTCGGTGTCTTTTTTGTCGAATAAATCAATGTCCAATAACTAGAAATTCGGAAAAAAAGGTTAATATTTTTTGTATGTATGTCAAATATGTATTTGTATGTATGTCAAATATGTCAAATTCATAATTTTCTTAAAATTGGCATACATCATAAATTTTAAATTCTGCACAAATGTAAAGTTTGTGACTTTTTTGCCCATTTTATAGAATTCATTATCCAAGTCCTTATACGAATCGACCTGCAGACCAAAGGCCGTCGAGGCAATAATATCATTTGTAAATCGTGTTATAAAATCTTTCACCTCCAATTACCCTCAGTACGTTGTGTCAATCGGTCTACCTATGGATCTTAAGTGCACCATTTACTTTAAATCGAACGAAAATATTGATAGGAGGTGTATGTAAATCTGAACCAAAATTCGTGCAAATCTAAGGATATATAGGCACTTTGGTGCACTATTTACCTCAAATAGGGCGAACCTATATCTATATCTGAACCGATTTTCACGAAACTTAACACACGTCATTGTAGACTTAATTCAGTACGCTATGCCAAAATTCGCGCAAATCGAATGATTTTCAGGGACTTTGATGCACTATTTACCTAAAATCGGACGAGAATATATATGTGAGCTATATCTAAGTCTGAACCGATTTTCACGAAACTTAGCACACTTCATTCTAGACTTAATTCCGTACGCTATGCCAAAATCAAACTATTGTAGGGACTTTGGTGCACCATTTACCTAAAATCGGGCGAAGCTATATATGGGACCTATATCTAAATCTGAACCGATTTTATCAAATTTCTATAGGGTTCGTCCTTAGGCCAAATAAGTGTCTTGTGCCAAATTTCATCCAAATCGTACTATAAATGCGACCTGTATTTTGTTTACAATTTAACATCAACAGACGGACGGACATGCAAAAAATTATTCTATGCATATTCTAAGAAGGAATCATGGGTCTACCTCGATTCCTTTTGCCTGTTACAAACATATGCACAAAGACATAATATCCTGTACCACAGTGTGGTGAAGGGTATAAAAATAAGTGGCTAATTGTCAGAAAACAATGTCCTCCCAAGACAAAATTAAGAATTTGGGTATATATCGCAGGTCATCCTCCAATACCTTGAAAAATATTCTTCAAATAAAATGATGCAATATTGAAACTAACAGGAGTAATACGTATAAATTTGAATGAATTCGTTATCTTCCACACATATCGGTCATTTACTTTAATACTAATAATCTATATTTACCGATAGATATCACTGATAACGGATCAGTAGCCCAACAAAGCCAGACGTTGAAGACTTTAAGATTTTAAGTATATGGAATGTTTATATTTATTTGTAAATAATCACACAAAACGAAATATATTTTTCAGGAATCGAGAATATACTGCAGGTTCTATCCTCAATAACTTGAGAAATTTTTCATCGAAAAAAAAAGATGCAATAATGAAACTAATAAGAATAATGCCTATACATTTGAATGAAATCGTTGCCGATATTGATTATCTGTATGTAGAACGATAGATACCATTGTTCGATAGACTTAATCAAACAAAATTTTGAATTTTATTATCTTTGTTCTGTTTTTCCATTGATAAAAGCATGAAACAATAATAAATTATAAAAAGTTTGCTTCTGGGTGTTTCGGATACATAGACGGACCAATTACAACCAACAATTATGTATGTATTAACTTATATAGAAACTGCTAAGATTGTATCATAAATGTTCTGATAAAATATATATATATATATATATGGAGGAAATTCGAATTTGTCCCAAGTCCTAGTCCAGCATTTTTTTTTTTTTGAAATATATTTTACTAAATCCTAATTCAGTTCTCTCCTTCATTCAGTCCTAAAACTTAGCCTTATTGCTAATGAGGGTTATCGTGATTTAAAATCCATGTGTTTTTAGACCAATTCCGTTTCACACAATTTGGAGTCGATTTAGATTTGTTCGTCCGTCTGTCTAACAGCCTGACTGACAGACGGACGCCCAAAAAATTGTAAGTGTATATATTAATTGATTTAGCCATGTCTGTCTGTTCAAATCATATTTAAGAACTTTGAATATTTGCAAGGAGTAAATATAGGTCCAAGTTTTGATATAGCTTCCATAAAACGATAACGCCCAATTATCAGTATTTTTAAGGTTTCAGGCGCATTATCCCACGGAAAGGGTTATATTTCATCGTATCAGGTTTTTGAAAGTTTACATTAATCTATATAGAAAATTGTCAATACAGGGTCAATATTTTGACATGGCCCCCATATAAACGTCTCTTGCAATTTTCGGTATTTGGAGGGCTTTAGTCGTAATTTGTAACCGAAAAGACTCTAATTTTGGATCTCGGTGTTTTAGAGCTTAACAAATATCAGGCACAGAAAATTATTATTGGTCTATGTTTTGACATAGACCCCTCCCCGTACAAATGTCCCGCCTAATTATACCCTACACAACTCTGTTGTCAGGGTATTATAGCTTTGTGCAGCCCCAAAAGTTTGTAAAGCCGCGAAATATTTTTTTGGACCAATCTTCACGAAATTTTGCATGTGCATGGGTTCTGGCCAATGAAGACCCCTATTGTTTTTGGAAAAGATCGGTTAATATTTAGGGGATGAAATGGACCAAAATCTTTATTTTTGTCGGTTTTTCTGGTCGCTCCAGAGGCCGCAATTATGGTTCAAACAACGCCTTTATGCATGGAGAAGGGGATGGGCCCAAAGAATAAGCATGCATGTTTTGATAAAGATCGGTCAATATTTACCGGGTCAAATGGACCCTATTTTTTGTGTGAAAAATTACAAAATTTGTATTTTATAGCGTATATATTTACCACTGAAGGACATAGACCCGAGAAGTGGATAGTATATCCAAGAGGAGTGGTTGACCTTTAAATTGATACCAATCATATCGTCGTAGGTACTCGGATGCGGCAGTTACAGTTAAATATTTACAGGTACTTACGTATTCATATATTATTTAGTAACCTATTACCACACTGGAGGGCGGAAATATAGCGATGACCGCTTTGAGATGTTCCACGAGGTTCCAGTTATAGTCAAGGACAACGCCTAAAATGTTAGGTTATGATCAGATAATAATTTTTCGGATGAAGTGGACCGAAAACTTAATTATTTGTGCTTTTCGAGTCGAAAGCCGAACATCACAACACAACCCACGGTGAAGGGAATCTGGACAAGTAATTAGAGGGGCTGTACTGATTATTAGTAACATTTGCTGACCTCTAGCCAGTCAAAAGTGTGCAAATATCGCGAAATATTGCCCATTCTCAGAATATGGTACCACAGAAAATAAGATTTTCATGGAAGTTGTGTAGGGTATAGTATGGTCGGCCCCGTCCGACTATACTACTCCGCTCACTGGTTTCCGTTATTTTGTGGGGTTTTGCCACATTTTTTCTACCGATAAAGGCTGTATTTTGGCATTCCGGGGTTTTGAAGCCTGGCATTCAATTTGTTTTCAATATTTTGTGGGGTTAGGTTGAATTTTCAAGCCGAAAAGGCTCAAATTGGTTTTTGCAGGCTGGCATAAATCAGTGCAGAAATTTGATAGATGCATATTTTGAAATGGCTCCCATAAAAATGTCCCGCTAATTTTCTGTATTTTAAGGGGTTTTTTTATTCGCATTTCCCAATCGAAAGGGCTGTAACTTGGCTTTTCGAGTTTCCATTCATTTGCATTCAAATATACAGAAAATTATCATTATAGGTCGTTTGCCTTAATCCAAAGAAAAGTAATTTAAACTAAATCGAAATAAAGAAAATATTTCCTACACCAGAAAAGCTTCTATTCTATTGGAATTAATTGTTTCATTCTATAAAATACCGTTTTTCTATTCTATATAAATAAGGTCGTATATTTCATAGAAAAGCGGTCTCGACTCCATAGAAGACCAGCACTTCTATTCTTTAAAAATCCAACACTTCTATTGAAGAACAGCTATTATATTCTGTTGAAGATCGATATTGTATTTGAGAAAAATATTCTTTAAAAAATCCACGTCTCTTCTGTGGATGCTTGAGAAAAATATTCTTTAAAAAATCCACGTCTCTTCTGTGGATGCTTGAGAAAAATATTCTTTAAAAAATCCACGTCTCTTCTGTGGATGCTTGAGAAAAATATTCTTTAAAAAATCCACGTCTCTTCTGTGGATGCTTGAGAAAAATATTCTTTAAAAAATCCTCGTCTCTTCTGTGGATGCTTGAGAAAAATATTCTTTAAAAAATCCACGCCTCTTCTGTGGATGCTTGAGAAAAATATTCTTTAAAAAATCCACGCCTCTTCTGTGGATGCTTGAGAAAAATATTCTTTAAAAAATCCACGCCTCTTCTGTGGATGCTTGAGAAAACTATTCTTTAAAGAATCCACGCCTCTTCTGTGGATGCTTGAGAAAACTATTCTTTAAAGAATCCACGCCTCTTCTGTGGTGGCTTGAGAAAAATATTCTTTAAAAAATCCACGCCTCTTCTGTGGTGGCTTGAGAAAAATATTCTTTAAAAAATTCAGGCCTGCAGAAAATATTCGTTAAAAAAATTCTCGGTTCCCGGTTTTGGTCCTTAAAAATCCAATTATTAATCAACCGATATATTTATTTTTTTATTCTCCAAATATTTATTTATTTTTCTCTTGGTACCAATTTCAACCAAAATCCTCCTTCCGGTACAAACTCAAAGGACTTGGCGCTTATCCTAAAGGGATTGGACATTTTAGCGGAACGCTCGATACGAAATTGTCTCACCAAGTGGAAGAGAAAGGCTTTGGCTTCCAAAATAGCTAGCCGAGATCCTGTAATCATAATAAAAAAATATTAGTCCCATTTCATTCTTCAAATATCCTCCATGGACTTACCTATACAATTTCTTGGACCCACACCGAATGGCATATAGGTGAATGGTATCTGATTGTATCTGATCCTTATTCTCTGCACTAAATCTCTCGGGTATAAATTTCTCTGGCTCAGGCCAATATTTCTCATCCATGTGCAGAGCAATTATGG